TATTTTGTGGGCAATGGTATTCTCGGGTGACATGGAGATACTGTATGTGGAAGGGTTTTATGTAGTAAATGGTATTGACAGGTATTGGCATCCCTCAGTCCCTGCGGACTATGGAGGTATGCCGCTGCCCTTAGAACGGCATCTGCTGTGACTGTCAAGTCTAATGCGGGAGTGGCAGTCTCTGCCACATAGGCTACACACAAAACGTAGATACTCCATCGCTATGAGGTTGATTTTTCTCTCTGGCTTTTCCTCTCTATAGCTCGCTGCGTTTGGTTTCTTTCAAAATGCGACAATCCGTTTTTCACTTTCTGTCGCTATAACAGTTGATCTGCAGCTAATTTTCCCCGTCTCTTTGCCTATGTTGATATCTATCAGGTTTCGTCTGCATATGTCCTTATAACGTAGCCTTGGCCTTCCGGTGGTTCTATTTCCTGTTTCCAGTTCATCACACAGGGGATCCTTTGGAATACGACCATGCGGAGGACGTGTCCCAGCCAGCAAAGATCTGTTAACAGATGAGGTAAGGATATTGGGTGAGGACGGGTATTGTGATGTGGAGATAAAGTGCAGGGAGGGACAACTGACATGGTCGGTTCTCGTCTGCAGTCATTGCAACCTGCAACTGAGCCAGACGTCTGGACGCTATGGGCTTAAATTGTTTCAAACAAAACAACACAGCTCAGAGCAGTGATTCTCAACCTTCCTAATGCCGCGACCCTTTAATACAGTTCTTTATGCTGAGACGACCCCCAACCATACAATTATTTTCGTTACTACTCCATAACTTCAATGAATGTGTGTGTTGCGATACTCTTTGGCCACCCCTGTGAAAAGGTCGTTAAACCCAAAAAGGGTCGCGACCTACATGTTGAGAACCGCTGTCTTAGAGCGAAGGTTGTGTTGGGCAGGATTACTTACATGAAATAATTAACTGTTTTAGATCACCCCTGGAAATTATTGCCGATATCGTTCTGGTAGACGATGGTACAGAAATTGCAGACCTACAGTATCCTAGGCTGGAGCACTACCTGTCCGGCCTGAAAAAGGTTCGTGAATAATTTTAAGGGATATCTAACGTTATCTCATCCTCATCCCCCAACCCGCTCCACTTTGCTTCCTCCTAACAGGCCCCACTTGTATTCCTTGTTTTTCTTCAACAGTGCATGCCATGAATCCGCCTCTTCACTTTTAAAGCTAACAATAGTATCATATATTCATTGATTTCTAACACCTGGCTTCAGTGTTCTAGATAGGTATGGTTTTTGTCCAAGGCTTACAATATTCGGTCTTTGTGGATCACGTGACAGTTTCCATGGAGGGGAGGTAATTATCTACACAGATGAATCTGTGTTCAGAGGCACAGGAATGCATGGTCGCTCTTTGTAGAAGCTTAGGGAATGATACTACAACATCTAGTTTGAGATGTGGAGTGGAGACAATCATGGCAGCTTTCTGCTGGCTTGAGAACCAGCTACACACACATGTGTTGTGATTGTTGTGTCTTTACACATAAAACAAGCTGATAAAGATGGAGAATGGCACGCCTTGTGCAGAGTGGCAGGCATCGCTTCAGCAATACCAGATAGTTAGCATCATTTGGATCGTTTCTCTGGGGCATGCAGGTGTGTTGGGAAATGAACAGTAAGACAGAATGCCACTGGGTGATGACTTGATGCCTGAACAGTTAGGATGTGGTTCGGGCCTTTTGAGAGCAAGTGAACAATGCAGAAGATTGTACATGTATGAAGAAACACAAATTAGACCGTCCTTGTGCGGTATAAGGCTTTTTAGAGGTGCTGATGCACTTTACTGACCACTATTTGTTCTTAAGTAAAATCAAGCTGAAACCTTAGAGATGCATAACATCTTACAATTATAGAAACGAATATGAAGTTAGATATCCCAGGGATAAAGAAGGAATGAATAATTGTTGGTTAGTCTAAAAAAAAAAGTACCAGAAGCAGTGGCAGTTATCTGAGGAGGCAAACATTGAAGTCTGCTAGGAAAAGATCAAATGAATTTGGAATGAATCTTGTGTAGAAATCCTTGTAACAGAAACATAAGCGTGGTTACAGATTGAAACAATTGGCTGCTAAGGTTCATGAAAAACAGACAGGAGTTAATGAGGAAGTTGGAGGACTGATAAAGGCAAGTAGGAGGACACATTAAGATGACATAGCACAAGAAGCGGAGACATCAGCAACCAAAGAAATGTCAGAGACATTTCCAGCACCACAAGGAAATTAGGGTCCAAAAATAGTAAACCAACTGGGTCAGCCAGAAATACTCAAGGAAAGGTTCTCATCCATACTAAATGTCAAATTGACAGGTTGGCTGAATATTTTGCAATACTTCTGCATAGACCAGATATGCAGCCTTTACACGTGGAACTGGATATCAACTATGAGATACCATGTAAAGAGGAAATTAGGAAGATCGTCAGTCTACTGAAGGAAGGAAGGTTTGCAGGTCTATAAGTATTCCAGCAGAAGTTATTATGGCCACTATAAAAACGTCAGCGGAATCGCTACATAAATTATTCATTTCAGTCTGGGAGAAATAAAAAAAACCTGTTCAACAGTACTGTTTGCTTTGCAACTAACAGTGATGGGTGTTTCCACCTCATGAACTGGGGTTTTGCGGATTGAGACTGTTATCATTTGCGTTATTTATTTTCATTATCTATACCGCTAATTTATTACTGTTGAGATCTAACTGATCTCCATCAAGTATTGTGGATTATGCTTCCATTTTCAGTAGCTAAAGCCCTAAAGAAAAGTTAACGAAAATACGGTGTTATTTCCTACTTTATTAGAGCAATAATTTTTTTTCCTTTTATTCCATTATTATTACTACTACATCTTCTCCTTTTCCTCCTTTTCCTGTTCCCACCGCTACCATTTCTTCTTCTTCTTCTTCTTCTTCTTCTTCTCCTTCTTCTTCTCCTTCTTCTTCTTCTTCTTCTTCTTCTTCTTCTTCTTCTTCTTCTTCTTCTTCTTCTTCTTCTTCTTCTTCTTCTTCTTCTCCTTCTTCTTCTCCTTCTTCTTCTTCTTCTTCTTCTTCTTCTTCTTCTTCTTCTTCTTCTTCTTCTTCTTCTTCTTCTTCTTCTTCTTCTTCTTCTTCTTCTTCTTCTTCTTCTTCTTCTCCTTCTTCTTCTTCTTCTTCTTCTTCTTCTTCTTCTTCTTCTTCTTCTTCTTCTTCTTCTTCTTCTTCTTCTTCTTCTTCTTCTTCTTGTTTTTATTTTTCGTCTTCATCTTTTTCTTCCTCCTCATCTTCTTTCTCCTTCTTTTGCGTTCGCACATAACGGACGCTTTTTGGCCTAACATTTTCGACTTCAGCAAACCCTTAATGAGTCGCCTTTTACGACCTACTTGTATAGGGTCAGTGGTTCTATTTTTGTTTTCCCAAATTAGAATCCTGAAACCCAAACAACAACAACAGCGGCAACTATTATTACAAATGCTACTGTTGCAGAGGTTACTACTTATACTGCTGCTACTACAACAACAACTACTACAACTACAACAACTACTACTACTACTACTACTACTACTACTACTACTACTACTACTACTACTACGACGACGACGACTACTACTACTACTACTACTACTACTACTACTACTACTACTACTACTACTACTACTACTACTACTACTACTATTATTATTACTACTGCTGCAACTTGTTCTTCTCCTTCTCCTCCAACTTCTACTACTACTATTATTATTACTACTGCTGCAACTTGTTCTTCTCCTTCTCCTCCAACTTCTACTACTAGTACATTTACACATTCTGCTAGGTAAGGATTATTCGCCTGACGAAGCCTTTAGGGACAGCAAAAGCCAGGATGCACGGAGCCAGAAATGCGACCGGTGCAGTAGTGATATTCCTGCAGCCTCGATGTGAGTGCACTGAAGGGTGGATGTTGCCACTTGTACGTGCGGTAGCTGCAGACACCCGGGCTGTGGCCGTTCCCCTGGTAGACACAATCGATTACAGAACGTTCCAGTAAGTGTGTGTGTGGGTGGGGTGTGTGTGTGGGTGGGGGGTATGTGTGGGTGTGTGTGTGTGTTTGTATGTGTGTGTGTGGGTGTGTGTGGGTATGGCACTATTTTAACAAAGATTTCCAGTAAGTGTATGTGTGGCATTTTCCAGTGAATGAATGTGGCATTTTCCTATAAGTGTGTGTGACATTATCTTGTGAATGAATATGGTATTTTCCTATAAGTGTGTGTGACATTATCTTGTGAACGAATGTGGCATTTTCATATAAGTGTGTGTGACATTATCTTGTGATTTAATATGGCATTTTCATATAAGTGTGTGTGACATTATCTTGTGATTTAATATGGCATTTTCCTATAAGTGTGTGTGACATTATCTTGTGATTTAATATGGCATTTTCCTATAAGTGTGTGTGA